GGGGGCGCTGGAGCATTTTGAAAGGGGGGGGGTTGGTTTGCGGGTGTATCCGCTCCGCCCCCCTCTGCCTGTGTCGCTCCGGGGGGATTCGCCCTTTTAACCGCGGGTTTGTGCGTGTGACGCTCCTGCGCCCTGTGGGCAGCGCGGTGGCGATGTGCAGAGCCGGAAGAGAGCCGCTGGGTCAGCGAACATTGCTCCCTTGTTGCTGAGGCCTCTCTTGTTCAAACGCTTCCGAGGGGTAGCCAGGCTGGAACAGCAACAACTGAAAAAACAACAGATAGGCTGGTAGCACTTTATAGACTAACAAAACATGGAGATGGGATCGTGAGCTTTCGTGGGCACAGCCCACTTCTTCAGATGGCCACAATGCTGGCCATCCACGACAGTCGCTCTCTGAGTTACGCCCACCTCCACTTTTACGACCATCCGCACTTAGGACCAAAGCAGTCGGAAATGCGGATCCGAGTTCCGAACGGCGATCCATGCTTACGAACAGCGCCGTCGCCATGTAACACTATGGGATCCAAGTTGTGAACACTTCGAGTTACGGACCAAGTGTTGGTGCGTAACTTGTTCATAACTCGGGGAGCGGCTGTACTCCGCTCATCTGAAGAAGTGGGCTGTGCCCACGAAAGCTCATGATACCATCTACATGTTTTGTTAGTCTATAAAGTGCTACCAGACTATTTTTTTAGCATCTTTTGTGTGACTAGTAAGCAGCTCTTCTCTTTTCTTAGGAGGAAGAATTTCTGTTCTGATCCATCTCAAGTCCCACTTTTCCTAGGTTCATCTCTCTTCCCTCTCCAGCATGCTAAATCTTTTCTCTTCATTTTACCTTAACTTTCATGGTCCATGAGGTCTGCTGCACTGAACAGTGAATTCCTCTTTTACCCATCTCTCCCTGCTTGCTGTGTTTCTAGCATTATTCTTGCTGCACTTGCTGACTCAAAAACCAGCCTATGCAATTATTTTTGCTGCAGTCAAAGCAGGCAGTGGAGGGATCAGAGCAACATGAAGAATGCAACCACTTTGAGATCTGGGGATCGGAAAACATTTATGTCCAAAGAAATGTACCTAAACACTGCTCCAGCACAACTCTGTCATCATAATAAGATTTCCAGTCATGGAGTTGAGAGCTATGGCTTATTCTCTGAAAAGGTTATTGCTCTTGCAGAAAATGTCAGTTATCATAAACTAGGGGTGAGCAATAATTTTTGATGTGGTGGGGCCACTCCAAAATGTTGGTAAGTGGTCAAGGGCCACACTTTTCTATGGAGGGGATGGGAGGTCTGAGATGGAGGATGGGTGCAGAATGGAGCTTGAGGTAGAGAATTTGGGTGCAGGAGAGGTTATTAGGGGGTGTTTGGGTGAAGGACAGGGTTCACAGTGCACAGAGCTTCCCCCTTCCTCCTGACCACAGAGAGGCTGTGTCTAAACTGCAGGGTTTTTTCGAAAAAAAGTAGCCTTTTTTCGAAAAAAACTTCACCTGCATCTAGACTACAGCCTCATTCTTTCAAAATTACATTGAAAGAACACGGCTTTTCTTTCAATGGTGGCACTCCTCATTTCACGAGGAATAACGCCTTTTTTCAAAAGTGCTCTTGCAAAAAAAGGCGCTGTGTAATGCAAACTGTGCTTTTTCGAAAGAGAGCATCCAGACTGATTGTAGTCTAGATGCTCTTTTTTGAAAGAAACTTGCAGTCTAGACATAGCCAGAGAGAGATGGAACAGCTAGCCCTCTGAGCTCTGGGGCTGCTCCCTGCCTGTGGATCGAGTGGGACATGCCACAGGGCAGACTGAGACACTGGGCCCCTTGCTTTCACATCTGTCCAAGTGGGTTGTGCCCACGAAAGCTCATGATATTTATATATTTTGTTAGTCTCTAAGGTGCTACAGGACCAATGTTGTTGTTTTTTTCCCTTTTTTTTAGTTACAGACTAATACTGCTACCCCTCCGAGACTTTTAGTAATCTTTTGTAATTTACTGTAATGTTTTTCTTAAAATTTCTCTGTTTGTTATTAACTTTGACTATAATTCTTGTAAAAATAAATGCAAAATATCTGATATCTGCCATGTTTTCCTTTAAAAAGAATGAAGGTCATCACTTGTGAAATAGCATGGCACAACAAAGAGCCGGTGTATAGCTTAGACTTCCAACATGGAACTGAAGGGAAAATCAATCGACTGGCCTCAGCAGGAGTAGACACTGCTGTTCGTGTGAGTTCCAAATTTCGCTGATTTTAGTGTGAGCAGAATATCTAACAAGACATTTAATTTTACTTAAAAATCTCACATTCTTCCAGTTTCCTACTGCCCCACAAGTGAGTGACTCAGATAAAAGGTTATGAGAAAGTGGGCCATGAGTTTTGTCAACTTGAGTTTAATTTTCTGAATAATAATGCTTCTTAATTTCATCAAGTTTGGGTAAGATTTTTGAAATATCTGCATTCCTTCTGCCTCCTTGCAAAATATATAAATAACGGAACTGAAGAAAATGGTGCACAAGATTAAAAATTAATCAATTTTCAGGTATATAGCAGGCAATTTACTATATGTAATTCTTTTATAACTAGATATGGAAAGTGGAAAAAGGACCAGATGGGAAAGCAATTGTGGAATTCTTATCAAATCTAGCTCGCCATACGAAAGCAGTGAATGTTGTGCGTTTCTCTCCCAATGGTGAGGTTTTAGCATCAGGAGGAGACGGTGAGTAACAAAAAACAATATAAAAAAGATAGATGAAAGTCATGTAAAAAGAGCACAGAACATTTCCGATTTGGGGTTTGTATGATCCATTAACTTCCCAATCATGGTGATATATGAGTGTTTCACATACCCTGGTGAATTTATTGGTTGAGCCTCCTTTGAGATACAAAATATTTTCTCTGTTTTACAGATATGAAAGAATTGTTCCTATTTTACAATTGGCGTATTGAGCAGCTCTCCCAATATCATAAACATAAAGGGACTCTGGCAGAGTTTGGAAATTACATACATCTCCAGAGTCACAGACCAGTGTTTATTCTAAGGACAAAGGGACTGGTTAGCTCTCTTGTGTTTGACAGGAATGTGTAACATTTTGGGGAAAGATTTCCAAAGGCACAAAGGGCAATTATATACCCTCTGAAAGTCTTTTGGAAGTTGGGAACCTGACTTTCACTTGGACCTTTGGAAATTTCCTTCTTAATCAACAGTTAAAAAGTCCAGGAGAGCAACATAAAGCAAAACTAACTTATACATTTGTCTCCTGTTTCTACATAATAAAGGTAACGGGGATAAAAACATTTCTAGGTCAGTCCCCTAAAACAAATCTCCAAGACTAGTCTAAATATTTTTGCTGGTTGATTTTCAGATTACATGTAACATAATAGCACAATAAGACCAATATAATAATTCATTATAAACAAAGCCCAAACATTTCTTATCAACAAGTCATATTATTCCACAGACGCTGTGATTTTATTGTGGAAATTGAATGATAACAAAGAACCAGAGCCAATAGCATTTCAAGATGAAGATGAAGCTCAGCTGAACAAAGAAAATTGGACAGTATTTAAAACATTAAGGTAATTTAATTGGGTTTTTGGAGAGTTTTCTTCATTCCATGATGCTCTTTGTCTGGAATGGCTTTCCACTCAACTTATGCAAATCTCTTACCGGGGGCCCTCCCCCCCCCCCCGAAAACTCACTTGCTTCAAAGTGTATTCCTGTTATTCATTCTAATTACTGTTCTCATTTAGTATCTGTCACTAGCAGTGTTCTGTACCAGTCTGTTTCTCCAGTTTTCTCTAGCAAAGTTCTCTGCACCTACTTATTTACTTCAAAAGCTCTGTTTTTGTACACGAGGAAATGTTAAGTAAACAGACATTTTTATTACTGAATTTATAATTAATATAATTTAATCATGAATATTAAACAAAGGGCCAAAAGATAAAACAAATCACGTCTGTTTGCTAAGTAAAACGAGAGCAATCAGTCCTTGCCACATTTTTTAAACTAGTGTTTAGAGAGTTGTTGAAAAGTTTTATTCCAGCTGACTGGCAATATTACTTTCAAATTACAATAATTAAAAAAAACTATGAAAAGCGACAATTATATTATATGTAATACAAAATAGCCTTTATTTCACATTGTACATGATACTCATTAAAATGTATGTGTACTCACAGTTAAAATAGTTAATTTAATTGAAACGAGTGGTTGTTTCAGTCCAGTTCCTAGTAGGCAAGACATCAGATCACCACTATCACAGTGAGAACTGAATGGCATCCTGTTGTCACTCTCTGTGGAGAAGCAAAGAAATGAAAGGCTATGGAAACCTAATTAACCTTTTGTTCCTTCATGGGACAATATGTGGAATGCTATCCTCTGTTTGAGCAGCATCTGTGGATAAAATGAGCACTTTGGTTTTTCTGTGTGATTATTATATTCATTAGTAATTCACACTCCTTTAAAAAAATAAACCTAGTATTTCTACATGATAAATCTGAGTAGGTACAAAGTATGTAAGTACAAAATATGCCTTTAAAAGTGCTTGTATAATTTCCATACAAGACTGAAACAGCTTCCAAAGTAAATTAATTAAAATTAATATCTCTTTAAAAAATGGGAATGTGGCATATTTTGTCATTCAAATAGTCACTTTGATGCAGAAAGCTACAAAATAATGCTAATGATTCTTACCGTTTTTAAACTTATTTTTTGTGGATATTTTGCTAAAGTGAACCTGATATCAGAAAACATTGGTTCAAATGTAATATGAACTAATTTAGATTCCTAGATTTGATATGACTTCTTTTGATATGCATCTTTTTCACTGAACATTTCTTGTGGAAAAAAATTATCTGTATAGGAAAGTTTTCTAAAAACGTGACCTTTCTTGTATTCATATATTTTATTGCTACATGAACAGTAGTGTGCTCATTACACACGGTTCTGGGAATGTTAATTTTTCATACCTTATATATTATTTCGTGTCATTTGTGAATTCAAGATTTTTATTTCTTTGAAAGATGCAGTGTTATACAGAGGTTAGCAGGGATATACGTGTTTTACTTCTAGTAAGAGTATATATTTTAAAAAAAACCAGTGGCTGGCTCTCATTGTAGTAACCTCTTTGGTTATATAGGTTTTCAACGTGTTTTGTTTTTTTTGAAATCTGACTTTGTTTATAATTCTTGTTCTTGCTATAACTAATGATCACGATCTACTAATCTGGATTTCAGAGGCCACTTAGAAGATGTGTATGATATTTGTTGGACCCCTGATGGAAACTGTATGGCCTCTGCCTCAGTAGATAACACAGCTATAATGTGGGATGTCAACAAAGGTAATTGCAAAGTTTCTAATTTGTGGTATCTAGCCTAAGATCAGTAGAATTGCTTAATGTTTAAGAAAATAACTGAAAGCATCTTTTTTTTTTTTAATGGCAATATGGTCAAAGTATTTCCTGAATTTGTGAAGGTGGGGTGAAAATACCTCTTCATCTGGGAGAATGATGTAGTGAAATCTCATTTTGTGGACCAGTTAGAGACACAAAAGTCAGGAAGGAGTTATTTGTTTCATAGAAATGTACAGAATCATCATTTCCATGGTGCTACTTTTTGCAGCATGACAGAGGGTACTTGTGCCCTCCCAGCTCCAAGTCGTTTAGTGGGTGGAAATTTTGATAACAGTGTTGTTAAGGGTGTGTTAATTTTAATCAAGGCGATTTAAATCACAAAAAACCCTACTGATTTAAATTAATTTTCCCACTGATACAACTTTACAACAGTGCAAATCTGTTCACTAAAACATGTTTACAGCTCAGTACAACATTTTACAACATCTAAGAGGGTGTAGTTTGTCTAATTTTTTTAGATAACTTGACTTTTATTAATTTAGGAAATAGTATGCAATATTCATTGCCTGTATCAAGCTGCAGATGCAGCAGCAGTACATTAGGAATGCTAAGAACTAAATCTTACACACAAACACAACACTTACATTTTATTAAATTAAATCTTAAATGTTACATAAATATTTCACATTTGCAGTTGCAGCAGTCTCCTGAGTTAAGGACAGCAGTTAGCTACACTCTTTTTTTTTTTAATTTAAATTTTCAAATTTTATTAACTCTAACAAACAAGTTCTCAGAACAATAAATGTACGGTGTCCTTAAAACTTCTACAACTCGCTCTCATCTTCCCCCACTCCCACTGTCATTTTGATACGGATCTGATTCCATGTTACCATAAAAGCTAAGATGGACTGTGCTCAGGGTGCACTTAATTTTGGAATAAGCCTCACTGAAAACAAGTACAGGATAGGATTCCTTTGGGAAAGCTGAGTTATACCAAAGTAAAACAGGGAATAGACTTATGGCATCACCATTATGGTCTGTGACCATGATGTTCCAAAATAAGAGGCATGTATTATGTAATATTAAGAGAGAAAATGACATTTAGTGGCATCTAGTAACTCTAGATTTCACTTACTGCAGTTTTCCGTACTGTATACTTGGATGATAGATTCTAAACGTAAGGATTAGCTAAGCTAAACTTTTTTTTAGCAACATCTAATAGTAAAGAGCTTGGGAATTTACTTGTTAAATCACATTTATACTAAAGGGCATAGAGAGTCTTGATGAATAATGCAAAGTTGATCTACATTGTTCTTAGATATATCCACATTTTCATCCACGTTATTTTTTTCCCAATAAGCAGTTTTCATTATGATGTTTCATTCTTGCAGCTAGGCCCTGCATCATCTTCTTGCACTGCTTATGCTCGACACGTTTTCCTTTTTTACCCAGGGAATACATTTCTTCAAAATATTCCCAGATAGAGTGTGTCTTACCCAGAACCCATGATAGTTTTCTGTGGCAGAAGCATGGGGGAATATAGGAAGTTGTGCGTGTACTGAATGTCTTCCCTTTGTCTTTCCAGTTCACTTTCTGTTCATTTCTGTACTGCCTTTGTTTGTTCCTATATATTGTCTGTTTGTCTAGGCAAATCTTAACTAACTCTGATGTGCTTGGCACAGGTCTATCACTACATAAGCACAAAACAAAAATAATCCTATCCAGCCTGTGTCTGTCTTTGCACACATTTGTGAGAAGCAGACACTGAAAACCCAGAACTTTCAAGAAGCAAGAGCTGGTTGTTATGCTGGACAGACTAGAGATATTAATTCATTTTTATGAGACTAAGTGTAGGAGTAGCATGTTTGTGATAAGATTTAATTGTAACTGTTGTTTTTAAATGAGAAATTTCGTATTTTATTGATTATAAAAATCCAAATTACATAAAAATTCCAATTTTTAATTAAAATTATTTTTATCCATCTTGGTGTTGCCAGATATGGGTTGATTTGGGTATCTCTTGGATGCCCTTTCTTACATAAATAGTGGTAAAAAACGTGAGAAATTTTGAACAATTACATAGGTTTATATTCCACGAAATATTAAAATATAAACTTTTTATTTATACTAACACTGATATCCAAAACAGTACCAGCTATTAAGCATCAGCCCATTCCCATCTCATTTCCCAGTCATGATTCTTTGAGATTTGTGGGATTTATTCATGTACCTTGGGACATCTGTAGCATTGAAGTGTTCATGCCCATGACTTCCTTGATGGGATAAGCCATGGGAGAAGCATTGGAGCTCCTAGTTTCAGAATTAGATGGTTCCACTAAACACAGCACATCTATAACCCACTAGTTAGTGTGCATTGCGTTGTCCTCTGTGCTGTATTCACAGAGGCTGAGTCTGTTATAGTCCCACATAGCTCAGATTCACGCCAAGCCTACTGTATGGGGACTATAGCTGTGCTGACATAATCCCATACTCTAGACCAGGGGTTGGCAACCTTTCAGAAGTGACATGCTGAGATTTAATGTATTCACTTCTATTTATGGATCTGTGTGCCTGGGGAGAAGGGTTGAGGCAGGCTGGGTATGGTGATCATATTTGCTGAACCAGCTGCAGTTAGGGAGAATGGTTTAATTTAAATTATTAAAACGATTAAGCATTTTAACTTTCTCTTGTTAGTTTATCGAACTTCATTTTAAATAAAGTAAAATATTCATCTATGATCCACAGAAAAATCAGTTGCGGACCACACAAGCGAGAAGCAAAAGAACTCAACCCTCACTGATGTGACCCCTAACTGAGACACCTCACTCCTCTGGCACTCCAGCTCAATGGGGTGAGGGAAAGGGACAGGGAGGATTGAGATTCAGGGCTTCCTATAGGCCAGATTAATTTTTGGGGGGTTCCAGAGTTAATTAATTTTGTGGACCCCCTTAGTCTCTGGGGTGAGGACAAAAATTAGGGGTTCAGTGTGCAGGACAGGGCTGTCAGTGAGTGGGATAGGGATGGGGCTGCAGAATCTGTGAGAGAGGTGTGGTGCAGAATGGGGAGAAGTTGTGAGGTCTGGGTTGGAGGTTGGGTGCAGAAGCAAGCTTGAGAGTAGGGTGTCTTTCCAGGAGGAGGCAGCAAGAACAAGGGTGGGTACAGTGTGTGGCCAGGAGGAAGGGTGCAGGAGTAATGATGGATGCAGGAACAGAATGGGGGTAGATGTCTGGCTGGAGGGTGGGTACAGGAGCACAATAGGGTGTCTGGCCAGAAGGGAGAGTGTCTGGCCAGGAGGGCGGATGCAGGAGCAAAGAATGGTGTCAGAGCAAGCTGTGTATGTGGGGTCTTGGCAGGGGGAGGGGAGTGAATGAGTGGAATTGGAATGTGGAGGGTCTGGCCATGAGGAGGGGCGCTTACTTGGCTTTGCACCCCCTTGCAGGGGGGAAAGCCTCTGGACAGCATGTCACTGCACTGCCATTCCCCCAGCAGGGTGGGTAGGGGGAAGGAGCTCAGCTTCTCCATGTGGGGGGAGGAAGAGAAACCCTGACCTTCCCTGCCAGACCTGGCTCACTGCCGCTCCCCCAGCATGGCGGGGAGGGGCAGGAGGACAGAGAGTGGAAACGTAACTGCTGAGCGCGCACCGCAGCGCCCCTGCTGGGGCTGAGGTGGCAACTCCAACGCGAAAAGGTCCAGGGACAGTTCCGCCAGGTTTTATCTTGGAACCCCCCACACCCCTCCCCCGCAGCAACGGCGATAGCTGTGGTACCAACAAGAGGCCTGGAGGAGGAGGTGGCGTGTCCAGACCGGGGACCTCATGTGCCACATGCAGTCCTACGAGGGGAAGGAGAGGGCCGTGCGGCACATGGTGATGGGGCAGTGGGTGGAGGAGTGGCCAGAAAAATGCGTACCACCGGAAGCCTGTTTAGAGTGCGCTCTATGGTAGTGAGGGGGAGGAGGCTGCTGCTGCACCATGAGAGGAACAATGGCAACTAAAATCAAGACAGTCCCATATGGTTGGCGTATGGATCCGATGGAGAGGCTCGTGTAACAGTGAAAATCAGTTTGCGTGCCACTTACGGCTCACATGCCATAGGTTGCTAACCCCTGCTTTAGACACATTTCATGTCAACAGAAAAGGTTTTTGTATTACTGTAGGAACATTACTTTCCCAAGCAACAATTTTTTGCATAGTTCTATAGATCAAGCAGGTATATTGAGAAGCCTGAATTCTACTGTTTTAGGTAACTTTTGTACTCAGAAACTGACAGACTAGGAATAAAGCTCAGATGTACATGCCTAAATTCAGTGGTCGTGGTTCAGTTGTGACTTTGTGAACTTAGTGAATAAAGCAAATATTCCTATCATCATTGTAAGACTCTTTACAAGATAGTTATAAATTTAAGATTAAAAATATATAATACTTTACATTCTGAAATACTTGGCCTTGTTTTATTTCTGAAATTAAAAGTGATTTATGAAATAGAAATTGAAACTATTTTTATTTTTAGGACAAAAAGTTTCAATTTTTAATGAACACAAGAGTTATGTACAAGGAATAACATGGGATCCTATAGGCCAGTACATTGCAACTCTTAGCTGTGATAGGTGAGTTATTTTAAGTGTTTCCTATTACTGTTGCTTGTTGCATGCTATTTAAGAAAATAATAGAATGCTTTTCATTTCATAATTATCAATATTTAGAAAGATGAAGTTTAATTGCTGTTCACATTAGGAATGTTAAAAAGCATTTTATTTACCAGGTAAATGTGTAACCACTGAAAATTACAAGTGGGAGAATGGTAGCTCCCGTGCAGCCACCTGCCTCACTCTTACAGTGTTCCTCTCTGCAGGACTGCAGACAGGAGCCAGTGTTCGTGGGCAGCTAGCTTTTAAGCAGACTCTCTCCGAGCACTGGCTCCCACCTGTTCCTCCTTACCCCATTCCCCCACTCTCTGTGCTGCTGCCTCTGATACAGAGGCAGCAGCGATGGAGGTGCTTTGTGCAACCATGGAGGTTAACTGATAAACCCCGGCTCATCGGTTAACCGTGTATACTATCTCATCCCTAGTTCACATAGATCCTTCTAAGGCAAGCATGTCCAAAGTCCGGCCCGCGGGCCAAATGCGGCCCGCGGTCGGATTTAATACGGCCCCCCGCTTCTCCTGGCTCCCCGGTGCTTTTTCTAACTGGCGCGCTCAGCGCGCCGCTTCGGGCCGCCGCGGTCCCAAACCCTGCCCCTGCACTCCGCTTTGGGGCTGAGAGTGCAGGGACAGCCCCCGCTTCCTCCCCCTCTCCTGGCTCCCCGGCACTCCTCTGACTGACGCCGCTTCCGGCCGCTCTGCCGCCGTCCATGGCGGCCGCTGCGGTCCTAAAGTCCACCATGTAGGGCACGTCCACAGCCCTGCTCCCCCGCTTGGCTACGGGTTCGCCCTGCCCCCGGGCCGCCGTGAGGCCAGCGTGCCCTGCGCTCTCCACCCGCCTCTGACCCTGCAAGCCCTCTACCTTGGGGCTGAGAGTGCAGGGACGGACTCCGCAGCTGCTGAGATCAGGGACGGACTCCGCAGCTGCTGAGATCAGGGACTGCCTTTGAACCAGACCTAGCCTATGTACTGCAGTCCAGATCTCAGTTTCACCCTTCACATTAGTGTAGGCAAGTTTTTTTTTCAATTGAGATGAATACATTGTAAAATCTCAGTTAATGTCAGTTGGTCTAAATCAGTTATCAAGAGAATTCTTGTTGGGCAGTGTATTAGTGCAGTGTATTACTTGGGCAGTGTATTAAACCTCTGGCACTGCGCTCACATGATCCCTTCCCCTTCTGGTCAATTTAAAAAAATGGCGACTGTAAATAAGAGAAGGAAATTTGACAGTGAGGGCCGCCGCTTCCAGGACAGGTGGAAAGTGGAATATTTCTTCACTGAAATAGAGAATCACTGTGTTTGTCTGATATGCCAAGAGACTGTGGCTGTTTATAAGGAATTTAATGTCAAGAGACACTACCAGTCGAGACATAGCACATACGACAAGCTTACAGGGCACGACCGCAGTGAAAAGTTGAAGCAACTTGAAGCTGTTTTAATGTCACAACAGAAATTTTTCATAAGAGCCCGTGAGTCAAATGAAAATGCCACAAGGGCGAGCTATGAGGTGGCAACGTTAATTGCTAAAAATTGCAAATCTTTTGCTGAGGGTGACTTTATCAAAGAATGCGTTATGAAAATGGTTGAGAATATCTGTCCCGAGAAGAAGCAAGAGTTTGCCAACATTTGCCTGGCTCGTAACACTGTAGCACGGAGAATTGAAGAGATTTCATCAGATATTAAGAGACAGTTGACATCCAAAGGAGTGGATTTTGACTTCTTTTCAATAGCCTGTGATGAAAGCACGGACCTATCTGACACAGCTCAGTTGCTGATTTTTATGAGAGGGGTGGACGATGAAATGAATGTGACTGAAGAGCTACTTGACCTCCAGAGCCTTACGGACCAAACAAGAGGAAAAGATTTATTTGTTTCTGTTAGTTCCGCCATAGATGACATGAAACTGCCTTGGAACAAAGTTACTGGGATTATTACTGATGGGGCACCTGCCATGGTTGGTGAACGAAGTGGATTATCAACCCTAATCTGTAACAAGGTGATCGAAGAAGGAGGCAAAGCTATTAAACTCCATTGTATCATTCATCAACAAGTTCTCTGTGCTAAACATCTCAAATATGATCATGTTATGAAACCGGTGCTAAAGACTATTAATTTTATTCGCTCTAAAGCCCTGTGCCACCGCCAGTTTAAACAGTTTCTACTGGACATCCAGGCTGAATACGAAGATGTTTTATATCACAACGATGTAAGATGGCTCAGTCGGGGGTCTGCACTGCAGCGTTTCTACTCTCTCAGAAAGGAAATCGGAGAATTCTTGGAAACAAAGGGACAACCAATGCGAGAACTATCTGATCCTATTTGGCTGGCTGATTTGGGGTTTCTAGTTGACATAACAAAGCATCTGAATGTACTGAACACGAGTCTTCAGGGGAAAGATGCAGCGGTGAACCAGCTTTATTCACACCTCAAAGCCTTTGGGACAAAGCTGCAACTTTTCATAAGGCAGTTGTCACAAACACAGCCCAATACCATACATTTTTCAGCGTTGCAGGAAATAATGAACAGTTTTCCACAGGACAATATCAGTGCGCAAACGAGCAGGTATGCAGCAGACATTGCATCTCTGGCTGGGGAGTTTAAACGGCGCTTTCAGGACTTTGCAGCTATTGAAAAGGAGATCAGCCTTTTCTCCTCTCCATTCTCTGTTGACCCCGATGATGCTCCAGATCAGCTGCAGCTCGAGCTCATTGAGCTGCATTGTGACAGCGAGTTACGCAGTCGTCACCAACAGCTCTCTCTTGTGAACTTTTACCGCCAACTGGATAAGAGCCGGTTTCAAGAGATTCGAACATTGGCTAAGAAAATGCTGAGCTTGTTTGGCTCAACATATATGTGTGAGAAGACATTCTCTGCTATGAACTGTAACAAGAACCGCGTGAGGACAAGACTAAGTGACTCTCACCTGCGTGACATTTTGCGCATCAAAACCACTGCCTTTGAACCAGACCTAGCCTATGTACTGCAGTCCAGATCTCAGTTTCACCCTTCACATTAGTGTAGGCAAGTTTTTTTTTCAATTGAGATGACTACATTGTAAAATCTCAGTTAATGTCAGTTGGTCTAAATCAGTTATAAATATATTTGGACACAACATGTATAGTTGGTGTTATGTCGTTTGCCGTTTGCAATAAACTTTGCATAAAATAGTTAATTTGCATTTAATTTTAATGGTTCAAAGAATGTCAGGCAAAATGGTCGGCCCTCACGCATGTTTACTTCATCAAATCTGGCCCTCTTTGAAAAAAGTTTGGACACCCCTGTTCTAAGGGAACTGCAAAGGTGGAATGGGAATTGGTATGCCATCCAAAGCCTTAGAAGCAACATTCAACAAAGAAGTAAATTTAATTTAACTTTTAAACAAATTATATTCCATTGGGCATTTTTAATTTGCTGAAGATATCAGAAGTTTATTTTTTTTTTATGCTGAATGTCACCTTTTTCATACCACCCTATATCCCCACCCTCTTCAGTCTGGTTAGTATGGTCATTTGGCAAACAAATCTTTTTTTGTATTAGCTTTCAGTTCACCATAAATTGTTTGGGGTATACATCTTATTTTGATAGGTTTCAAAACTGTCTAATAAACCTCTGGGAGAGTAATTCTAGATTTGAGATTTCTTTTATACCAAAGCATTCTGAGTCTCTGTAATGTAGAAGTGTAGAAAAGTAGCATATCAATGGGCTCTCTTCATAAACTACTACAGAAACTACATAGGTGTTTAGGTAATGCTTTAGTTTAATTGATTGTAGGTACCTGTCCATTACCAATGTCTTACCCCATTAGTTATGTTTATCTCTTTGTCTTTGTTGTGTACTGAAGACAAAAAGATGGGTGTGTGTTAACCTACATCTTTTATTGGTTTGGTTCTCTCCAGGGGCTGGTGGTGTAAAGTGATGCCCTTTTCCAGGGCTCGCCAGCCCTGCGCATGTGCAGATTGCTCTGCGCCAGCTCGTCTGGGTTGTAATCTGCTCACCACGGGCGAGTAGATTACATTATTTGTCGAGCCCTGCCCTTTTCATAAATCTCCTCCCCTTTATTGGCTCTTTCCGTTTATGTTTCCTCTCTCTCTTCCTCTCCTTTGGATTATTAGCTTCAATTCTTCTTCAAGTACTTGCTCATGTCCATTCCAATTAGTTGTGTGCACCGCATGCATAGATTCCGGAACTTTTTTCCCTTAGTACCCATTGGGCCAGCCAGGGAGCACCCTGGAGTGGTGCTGCTATATCAGCGCATAAATACCTCTGCTGGCCCTCCACCTCCCTCAGTTCTTTATTACTGCCGGTGACGGTAGCTGGAGCACTGATTACATCGTTAGTCCCAGCCCTTAGTGCATGTACATAGTTGTTCTTTTGTCTTTCAAGTCATTTAGTTGTTAGTGTCATTAGTTTAGATGAGAGAAGAGAGTTTTACTCCCTGCTGGGGAGGGAATGCCCGGCCCTCAGGGGTTCAATTTGTGTGTGAAGTGCTTTAAGCCAGGCCCTGCAGTGACCTGCATGACTCTTGCCTAAAGTGTCTGGGCGAGAGCCATCGAACAGACAGTTGTCACTTTTGCAAGGTCTTCAAGCTGAGCACAAAGCGAGAAAGAGACTCTAGGCTCAATCTCATTCTCATGGAGTCCACTTTGCAACCACCAGCACCAGAGTGAGCATAGTCAGTGCAAAGTGTACCAGCCTCGGTGTGGGAGAGCTTGACAGCACCGACCAGACAGGCTGCCACCTCTTCAAAGTCCTTGAGGCACCACTCACAGTCCCCGGCTCCAAGGAGAGAGAGAGATCACAGGGAGGATCTCTAGAGAGGTGCAGTCACAAAGTGCGCCCTAAGGAGGGGCACTCCACTTTGACGACATACTGCCTCCTCAGACTCCTCTCCTGAGAGCCCCCACTTTGGAGTCAACCTAGTCCTGCAGTAAGGACATGGCAAGACCTCCAGTGGAAGGGGAGGGC